CCCCAAAACCCCAAAACCCCAAAACCCCAAAACCCGCCAGTTATGAACCAATAGTATAGATTAAAAATTGTAGTTTTATTTCTTAAGATAGTAATTAATAGATTTTTTTAATAAATATCTGATTTATCTAGATCAATTTATGTGATTAAGTCTTAATTATAATTTATTTCTAAATATACACAAAAGATGGGTTGTGGATCTTCAACTGCTCAGGTAAATAATTATTCAAAGATAATCTAACTTAACCATTTTCATTTTAGCCAACACATAAGGCTGCTAACGACAAAAAATCAGAGAAAGACAAGGTACACACTGGTCACAAGGTTAAGGACGGTGATCATAAAAATTAGCCAATGTAACAGCCAATGTAACAACCAATGCATCAACCAATGTAATAGCCGATGCAACAGCCTATGTATATGCCAATGCAACAACCAATGATGCAGCCACAGATGCACGTTCAAATGCAAATGCAACCTCCTATGCAGCAGCAAATGCACGGACATGAGGATAAGCATCATGAAAAGAAAAAACATGATGACAAACACGAAGACAAACATCATAAGAGTGAAGAGAAACACCATGAAAAGAAGCACGATTCAGATAAGGAAAAACATCACAAGAAAGATGATAGTGATAAGAGCGATAAAAAGAAAAAGCACAGTGACAGCAGTGACAAAAAGAAAAAGAAGCACGGTAGCGACAGTAGCGACAAGAAAAAACACAAGAAGAGCGACTGAGCTGCAAAAGTAAACGAAAGTCCTGATACGGCATGATTATCAGTTACGTTATTAAATTTTGGATTTCAAATAAATATGGATTGGCTATCAAATTCATTTTACCTTTAATTCCTAAAAATTTTTAACTTATCATTTATAACTTAATGATATTTAGTGCTCTAGTTGTAACGAATGAGCAATACTAAACTTATATCTATAATTGGAAACGATTATGATTTAGTTTATTTTAAGATTAATTTCTGATACTGATAATTGGATTGATTCACATGGGGTTTTGGGGTTTTGGGGTTTTGGGGAGATCGGAAGAGCACACGTCTG